ATCGCACCCAAAAAAATGGGACACGGACGATGCGCGAGCAGAGGACCCGGCCTTTGCGGTGGGAACCAGATTAAACGAGGAGTCGCCACCAAGATTTTGAGGTAAATCTCGGGAAACCGATTAAAAGGAGGATAAGAGTGGTCTGTGAAATTAAAGAATGGGTTCGGGAGTCAATTGAGTGTGGGGAAGGTGTTAGGCACCCCACAACACCCGTTCGTCAGAACAGTTACCTGAAGTTTGTTGTGCTATATTAATATGGCTTTAAAATTATTTTAATTATCCCTTTTATATTCATGTGTTTTAAAAAATGATAAGAATTAAGTGAAAAATGTTGATTTATTTATGAGGGAGGACAGACTTGACTCAGAATCTGACCTTGAGGCCTACGTACCTTGTGATGGGGATCAAAGTCCACGTAGTTCGAACTTAAAAGTTTGTTGGTGAAAATATTTTTTTGAAAAGAAATTAATTAGAAATAATTCACCATTTTATAAATAAAACAATTTCTAAAATTTTGATATGTGTGTTTTAAATTACAAAAGGTAATTTAATTTTAATTATTTTCTCCATTTTTGAATTTTTGGAATAAAGAAAGGAAAGGGTTTAAAATTATTTTTCTTTATGTTTTATGATTGGGAATTTTAATCACAGTACTTGCAGAACCTTATTGGTTCATACGATAATGCAATTGCTCTAAATATCTGCGGAGATTCTGAAATCTCACACAATAAAAGAGTTTGGCAATTTAATTTATTTATTTATATTCTTATGTACATTTTTAAGTATTAATAATAATAATTTTTAGCATGTAGATACATGTTTTGAAGAATTTTAATCAACATACCTGCAAAGCCTTATTGACTTATACAGTAATATGATTATCCTAAATATCTGCAGAGATTCTAAAATCTTACACGATAAAGGAATTAAATTTAAATACGTCTTTAATTTAATTAATTTAATATATATATATATATTAAAAAGCTTAATCGTTATATCTGTAGAGTCTTATTAACTCATATGATAATACGATTATTTTAGAAGTCTACGGAGATTCAAAAATCTCACATGACTAAGAGATATAATTACTGAATATGGTTACAATTTAAATGCATTAACTTGGTCAATTAATTCTAAATTGTGTATTATATGATTGTTTACAAAAATCATTTCTTTATTATAAAGATTAAAAATCAATATATCTATGAGGACTTATTGTCCCACACAATAATGTGATTAATTTAAGTCCTTACGAAAATTCTTGAAATCTCACATGGGACTTAAATAAATTACTTAGATTAAAAAAGATAGTTAATTTTAACGGTGGATCATTAAAACTATTGATTATACATATAAATTAGATCTCTATTCCTGTGAAATCTTATTGATTTACACGAAATGAGACCACTTTAAATGTCTGTGAAAATTCTTAAAATCTCACACGACAAGTAAATGATTAGAGATAAATTTTCTCTTATTCATTTTATTTTTTCAATTGGGTAAGAATCAAATTCTCTCCCCTCTGCCTTTTATAAAATAGGCTTATCATAATAAATGAAATCGTACATGGAATCATGATGGAGAGTGCCATACGATATGAGTGTAGCAATATTATTGACAAGTGAAGGACCTTAGGATTAATGGAGATAAAAAAAATCATGCTCATACATATTAATATACCCTTTCATGCTAAAAACACATTTAAAGACCTTGCTTAATAATTACACTAATTCTTTATTTGAAATGAGATTATGCCTAAAATCAAATTAAGCTTAGTTATAATAGCAAGCAAAAATTATTATTTGTAATCTCTTTATCCTTCTTTTTCACACTCTCTTTTTTTATAAAAAAATGACAATTACATTGATTTTCATTTGAGAACTAAAAAAAATGTGGGACAGATATTTAAACATGAAAAATAAATCTAAATCGAACGTGTGCCTTTCAAATTCAGAAGCAAGAAAGCAAGGCAAATCATATGCATAATATCCTGTTCACTCAATAATAAACCAGTGATCATTAAGAAAAAGAAGAAAAATGACTATACCGAATGACGTATTCTCCTCCTCTCTTCGTTTCTTCTTTCTCTCAGCCTTTGCTTTCTTTTCTATTTTTTTCTGTCATCTCTGCTTCTCCTCTCTTCGTTTCTTCTTTCTCTCAGCCTTTGTTTCTTTTTTTCTGTGTTTTTCCATCGTCTCTGCTTTCTTGTTCTGTTTTGAGTTCTCTCCCCTCACGTTTCAGCCTCTATTTTTTTCTGCCAGAACAACTCCTCATCTCTTCTTGGTTTCTCTCCTTTTCTCCAGCCAGAATAGCTCTTTCTCTCTCAACCTTTATTTCACGTCTTTCGGTCTCTCTCTTTCTCTGTTTTCATGTTCTTCCGTGCCCTCTTCCCTGTCCTCTGTTTTTCTTCCAATTTCTCATCCTCCTCTTCCTCTCCTCCTATATTCTTTCGTGCTCTATTTTTTGCATTTCTGTCTCCTTAGCTTGCCAGAACAGCACCTTCTCTCTCAGTCTCTGTTTTCTGCGTTTCTATCTCCTCAGTCTCTCTTTCTCTGTTTCACCTCCTCAATCTCCCTTTTTCCATCTTTTTTTCTTTTTTTTCCGCTCACCCTTGTCACTCCTTATCTTCTCTTCTGCTGCATTTTCTGTGTGCGCCGAAAGCTCTCTACTCTATTTCTCTTTCTTTTGCATGTGAGTGCTGCATTTCTGCATTGGTGTTTTGTCTGGTCTTTTCTTCTATGCTCTTTGGCCAAAAAGTCTGCTCTCTTCGTGTTGTCTATAGCTCAGGTTTTGTGTATCATCTGTGCGTGCATGTTTGTTCTTCTTCTACGTACAGAAGTCTGTGTGTGTGCACATCATGGTGGTTGCTCCATCTGCTGTGCTTTTCTACTTTCTAATTTTCTTTTCTGTTTCATTTGTGCTGTTTTTGTTGTTTTTTTCTTTTCTTGTTGTATGGCCGAAAGTGTGCGCGCGCGCATGCGTGTATTTCATGTGTCTTGATGCTGCATGTATCTATTCCTTCTTCTTCTTTTTCTTTCTTTTTTTTCTTCATTCTTTAATGCCTTTTTTTTTATTAATTAGATTGAGGGAGAGAAAGAAAAGTCTAATTTTAAAACATATATTTTTAAATGAAAAATAAAAGATTTAAGGAGAGAAATTTAAAAATAGTTGAGTCTCAAAAATTGATTCCCAATATCTTTGAATGGTTGGGATAATTTGAGAGATGTTTTTTAAAAAAAATTTAAGCAAAATTCTTTTTTTTTAAATATAATCCTAAAAAAGGATTAAATTTTATTTTTATATTTATTATAGTTTTTGATTATTTATTATTAAAGAAGAGTTCAGACAAAATATGGTGTTCACAGTGAGGATGGTAATGGACCAATTCAAATGGTTGTGTCATTACTTGTTCAACAAGCATGTTTTTTAGCAACATAGGACAACTCATCAATTTTCCTTTCAATACCATGAGTATCATGATAAAGCATGAAGGAAGAAAAATTAGTATCAATGTGATAACCATTTCAAGCTATCTCCACAACCAAAATAGAATCAATCAAACTAAAGGAAAATAAAAGAAAACACAAAGTCTTCTCATGTATATGATTAAAATCATGAATTTTTTTTAAGGTGGACCCTATCCTCAGTAAAATAAAAAAATAAAAATAAAAGAAACTACCTAAAAAAAGGAAGGAAAAAAATAAAAAAATAAATCTAGAAAAAAATTGAAAAATAACCTAAAATTTAAAAAAATGAAAAAATGGGAAGTGATGATTATGAAGGAATTTGGTCAAATTAGGGGTCATTTAATAGCTAAAATTAAGAATTTCACTCAACACAACCCAAAATATGAAGATATCGAATTTTAGAAAAATCTAAGCAAGTGAGAAAAAAAAATTCATTAACCACAAAAATGATATTGGTAACCAAAATGACCAAATTAAAGCACAAAACAAGGGGAAAAGTGAAATTAAAAACAAAGCCAACACTAATCTTCCTAATTCAACTAGTTAACACAATTAGCTCCTTGGTAATGGTGCCAATGAGATACACACTTTTCATATGCTCAAATAGGTGGCTTCCTCTCACTGGGTTAAAGGAAATATCGTAAGTAAATATATTCTAACTTATTTCATCAAATAATCTGATTATTCTATCCCTTTTCAGCCTTAAAAATGATGCCACTAATGCCCAATCTAGCCCTCGTTCATGATTCTTGACTTATTGCAACAGTTCAAATCCATATGTGCCACTTAGGTCACAAAATAAACATAAAATGAAAGTCAAATATTTATGTGACCTAATAAATAAATTCTTGCACATGGAATTAATTAATTATCATGGAAGAATATTAATATTGTAAAATTCAAGGATTATGACACATGAAAGCTCATGCATACGTATAAAATCCTAATTCGATCAATAAAGACAACAATCCTGAAATATAATTTTTATTATTGAATTTTGAAAAAATAATTTCATATTCATTCTTTTGAGTATAAAAAACATGAAACACAATATTAACCTAATTTTTCATAAAAAGTGTAATTTTGGGCCACAATACTTTTAGTGCACAATTTTGCCTCTTAAGCAATTTTCTTGCCTTTAACACCATGAATGTATCAAAATGGGGAATAAAACATGTGAAATGAGTCCTAAATAAATAGGTAAAGCGTGTAAAATATGAGTCTTATTAGTTTTCACAAGAAGATATCCGATGCAAAACTAATGAACCCTTATTGTGGTAATTTCTCTCAAGAGGGCCTTAAAACGTCATTCTCCTAAAAAATGATCACATTTATTGCCACGCCAGCAAAGTTAGATAATATTACGACAAAACTAATGAAGACTTAACAACTAATGAAGAAAAAAACAACTCAATTGCATTGTTTAAGAATAAAAAAGAAGAAGGTTTACAAAGTTATAACTATAATGAAATTAAAAATTAAAACTAATATGATAAGAGAAAAAAAACCTAAGAAAATACTTTTTTTTTGGAATTAAGAAGAAAATGCATTTAAAGGTAACAGAGGAGGAGCACTTACTTGTATCACGACCTTCAAGGATAAATACGGAGATTGCGACCACCCTTCTTGTGAGTCACCGTTGATAAGTTGGGGGATATAGAGAAATCTTTTTTTCATCATTCTCTCTCGGAATTTATCAGTCATTCCCGCAAGATAAATACTTTTGAGAGCATTAAGTTTTTTGACATCGTCAGGCATACGTATCATTTTAGGGAAAAACCCCAGGTGTAGATCTTCAAGCAAAGGCATTGCTCCTTTCTCTATTCCGATCATCTTCAATTTATTCATGGCTTGTAAAGTAAGAACCTTGAGCTTCTTAAACCATTCAGCTCTAAAATGCAACTCTTTGCCTTCATATTTTCGCAAAAGAGAGAGATCCACCAACTCTGTCAAGTCCTTCAGATCATACAACAAGTCCTTGTTTTCTCGTAGTCATGATCTGGCCAAACGCAACTTCACTAGATGTCTAACTTTAGGAATCCAATTCGGTAATTTCCCTAAAGAACCATCCGATCCAAGTCGATACGTTGCAAGTATCGAGGAGGCTTAGTTATTGACTGCAAATCAAGAACTTCATTCTTTCCAAAAGCCACAATACTCAGAGAACACAAATGCTTCATCTCCCGGATTACAGTGCACAAGGATTTCCCATTCTTCCTCTTCAAGTTGATGATTCCTAGCTTCCTCATTTCCGTCAAATGAATCAATTCTTCAATGACACCATCCTCATTAGAGACATCAACTTTGGTCAGCTTCTGTAGAGCCTTCAAACAAGATATTCCTTTTTTCAATTGCACCGTATAAGAAGAATATGCTATGAGATGTCGCGCATGGATGAGCTGGTAGATGCATTTTGGCAATTCAATTACCGGCGTACGCTTTAGCGTTGGATAGGGAGGTGCAGAGGAAAATTAAAATTTTAAAATTTCTATCTTAATATAGACCGAATGAATTCATTTAAATTAGCAGCAGGCTAATTACGCTATTAGCCCACCAGTCACAAATAGCCTCTAGCAAGACATTGCAACTACCCAATTCATATGAAGGTCGATGATCTGATGTAACTTATCATGCAACCGTATCACATGCTTTTTGTCATGCGATATTTCAGTCAAGTGTGAAACATAAAATTGTTATTCTCCTTTATCTGACCATTACTTTCTTGATCTCTAAGTGGACTGATTGTAGCAATAGAAAAACCTTTTCATTGTAGCATGGCCAAACATTTTCTTAGTCTTACTCATCAAGAGGCCCAGTAATATCTCTCACTTAATGTGAGGGATGAATTCTATCTTGATCACTCATATTCTTCTACATGAATATCACTAAACTCAATTATAACCTTTAATCCTTTATGATCACTTGGTTAAAAGTGACTTTTGATTAGGTCAAAGTTTAGTGATCATCATGCAGGGATCCATGATGATTTTAGGTCAAAAGAGCTTAGTGATATGATTATTTATGAGATAAGCTTATGACTTGCATCATGTAGCTTTCTCATAATGAATTTGTCCAACACCTTATACTCTTTTAAGTGCCTATGACTTTCATTTGTATCTCTATAATTAATTAAAGTTATGCTAGTCTTGTTTCACTTATGATCCTTCATGGATGACCGATCAGGGGCATTTAGAACAATCACTATAGTTTGTCTAAGGATACAATTATCTCAGTGAACATGTAATTGATATAATAACAAAACAAAAATTCATTAAATAATAATATGCGTAGTACAATGATTGATCCTAGAGCATAATTTCTAACATTCCAGTCCAGAATCTCCAAATTAAAAAGATTGCTAATGAACTTAGGAATGGTCTTAATCTGTGTCTTTCGCAGATTTAGATACTTCAAAAGGAGCAAATAGTCAACAGCTTTGGGAAGATGATCGACAGGCGTACATTTAAAGCCCAAGGCTATCAAGAGCTTGTACAAGAATGATTGCACTGGAGGCTTTTCCAACTGTTGTAACTTGAAAACAAAGCAAGACTTCACTGTATCATAACTTTTAGCACTTGGAATATCAAGAAGCGCGAGGATGGATAGGCGCCTAGTCCGTGTAAGGAGATCAAATGACTGATTAGGTTTGATCACCCGGCAAAAGTTCCGATCCACACCTTTGTTGGGAACAAATGTGTGCATCAGATCATGGATATGACACCTTCGAACTCTGCCATCAGAATACTCTGCCGACACTTTGACCAAGCTCCGATGAATTGGTTCCTCTAAGTATTCTCCTGCTACTTGCTCAATCGTTCGTGGATCGTCATTTGAATTTTTTTCCACAAATCCTTCCACTATCCACAAATTAATGAGTCTTGTGGATCTCATGGAGTAGGCTTTAGGAAGAAGGCCGAAGTACAAGCGGCATAACTTAAGGTGGTAATTAAGATCATTATAAATTTCTGATAACACCTTGAAATAACCCTTTAACGAAGGATAATCGGTGATTTTTGGATTAAGGCTATCGTGCACCCTTTTCCATGTTAAAACATCTCTCCGTTTAGTTGATAGAAGACCAGCAATAGCTACAATTGTGAACAGAACTCCGTTGTACCGGCTAACAAAGTCTTGAGACAACTTCATTACTAGTGGACTAGTTTCTTCAATATAATTAAAAGGCCCAAAGACCTTACGAGAAAGAAGCTTAAAAGCATCTTGTTACGATAAAGGTTGCAGCTCATGGATGTAAAATAGAGCATGATCTCATCTACACAATATTGCGATCTGTTTATTCCTTGTGGTGATCGTTATCCTGTTGTCTTTACTGTTATGTGGTAATGCAAACTTGTGCCCAAAAAATACTCGTTCTATGCATCGTCAAAGACAACGATATTTTTTTAATCTTTCAGATATTCTCTTAATTTAGAAGTCATTTTATCTGCCTCTACCTTCTTGTCAGCTTCTTTAATGTGATCCCACCCACACAAGCTTTGTGTCAAACTTCTTAATAGTTCTCCTTCAAGTGACCGAGAGACAGTGATCCAAGCACAGCAGTCAAACCATCTTTTTTGCTTCTCGTACAAGTTATTCACAATAGCTGTTTTACCTTGCAGTAAGCCATAAAAAAAAAAAGAAATGGATTTAAAATGTGAAATAGAAAAAAGAATAAAAAATAAAAAATTAAGAGTTTGGGTTGAAAGCGGCATGTATGCATGTGGCTATATTATGATATTCTTATATATATATATATATATATATTCATTGATTATAATGTAATGCCCTTACTGATATTATCATACAACCTTCCATGCAATCACTCAAATACTTTAAAATCAATATCTTAAAAGAGTTGGGATCCCAATATAAAGCATTTGAAAACTACTTTAAAAAAACATTTCAGTTTTTTAAATTAGAACACAGCGGAAGCACTTTAAATGTGCATAAGAAAATCACTCATAAAACCGCTTCAAATCATCATAATTTAGTCAAAATGAGAGCCATGCACCACGGCTCGTGCCACATGTACCATGGTATGTGATACAGAGACACTGACATCACGCTCTATGCCATGTGCCATGGCATGTGGATAGATGCACCGCGGCGTAGACATCAGATTATGCTGTCAAATTGCTAGATCTGATGCAAACTACGGACGTGCACCGTTTTTGCATTTGATGTTCTATTGAACTATCAAATGCCCACACGAAGCTTATTTCATTTCTAACCAATGACACTAGTTTCATTCAAATTTGATATCCCATTTAAAAATTGGACAACTGAGTGCATTTTGACTATTTTATGTCAAAATTTGCCACTTGAGCATCACCAATTGAAATCACATGTCATTGGCCACTTCTAGGGCTTTGACCATATCTAAATGGACAATGTACACCTAATTGAGCAATTATATATACAATATATTACATATATACCCATTTGGCTGCTCAATCGCCCATTTCACACATTTGGGCACAAATTCTATTCTTTCTATTTCATTTATATTCATAGCCAAATTCCACACATACATCATCTATTCATACCCACACATATACTCCCATCCATCCAGTAGCCCACATGGTCATTTTCATCATATACATATATATACATCGTAGGCTAAGAAACCAAAACCACCAAATACACAAACATTCATTATAATATGCCCATGTATCCCAATCATAGGGCAACTTATAAATTTATACAAACGCAACTCATATTCTTAAGTCGTTACATCAATTCTTACAATAGGCTTTCAAGAGAAATCACTACTCTTGGCCCAACTCCTTTCCCTTTGCACTATCAATACCAAAACCTAAAAAATATAAATAACTATAAGTGATATCAAAATCTTAGTAACCAATATAACTCACTTAATGTCCATTAACACAAATAACCATGTTAAAGTAATAAAACCAAAGTATCACATATATATTTATCATAACATAGCTGTTCCCATAAATTTTCTCTTATAAATCATTTTCACACATTTACACACACTAACATGATTATCTATCCATCAATCCTCCAAAGCTCCATGACATAAAACCATAAGCTCTACTAGATCAATCACTCATTAATCCGAGCATACGTTCAATGATAGAAACACCCAATCAAAGGTAATCTATCCCACCTATGGACTATGGTCCCTCATTTCACACACTTATGATAGAGGCATCGTTGACTCCTAACTGCACCCTAACTAGCATTAAGGAGTTGCCAAACTACTCAGATGTCCTATGGTAACAGTCCCAATATAATGCTATACCAAATTACCCATGGTACTAGCTCGTATAATACTACACCAAATGTCCCATGGTGCAAGCCTGACCATATAAATTTATTCGCTAACATCTCCACACACATATCCACATAGATACCCTCTGTGAACTCCCACCCCTTGTAATTATACATTTCATACACATACCACTACTTCTCCTTAATTTATATCACATTAGCGTAAAAATCTTTATCTAAACCGGTTAAAATTAGTCATTTAAACTTATTTTCCAACCAATTTAGATAAGACCCGTTTGGATAAGTGATGTATATCTAAATTGGTTATACAACCGATTTAGAAAAGAATAATTCTAAATTGGTTCCAAACTGGGTTAGATAAAATTTAAATAAAAAGATTTCAATTTTTTACATTTTAAAAATACACTTCTAAATTGGTTATGACGTCATAACCAGTTTAGATATTCACTGGTTGTGACCACAATCTATTTAGATATTATGATATCTAAATCGGTTATTGTCACAACCAGTTTAGATACACTGTGTTATTAAAAAAATCATTCAATTTTTTCACTTAACCCATTCATGATATGATGCAAACCTGCAAATTAAAAGCAATATATACATCCAGGCAAGCAGAATACAATCCAATTCAATTAAATTAATGTAAAAATATTTACAATTTCATTTAATATGAAATATCCATATAAGTTTAATAATTTTTCCTAATTCAACTACACATATCCTAAATTCACTTATTCAATGGATAATTATTGTGAAACTCTAACATAAATAATCCTTAATGTCTTCTAATCTCTTGGATCTCTGATTGTGAAAAGGAAGATGAATCATTAAACATATGAAAAAATCAAGGACAAGGAATGTAAGTTAGCAATTCCAAGTGAATAAAATATATATTACACCTCTAAAATTAGATTTACCTCTTCAATAAACTCTGTCAAGCTAGCTGTGATGACGTTGTACATGTGTCTCAACACATAAAAGCTGCACAAGTTAGTAGAGGGTTGATGGTAGCTCTGTAGAATAACACAACATTATCAAAATTAAATTCAAAGAAAGCTCTATAAAAAAAATTATGATGATAGATATTTATTACCTTTAGTATTATCTATGTAGGAGCCTTGACATCATGTGGGGCCTTGCCCAATCGAACTTGCTAACCAATCCTCATAGCCCTATCATCAATATTATATAGTTAGTAACTTAATCACATAGAATAATGTATTATGGAAACACACTTACTATTCACAAGACTTCTTCATTCCTAGATTGAGTTTACAATGTAGAGAACATAAAAAGAGGATAGCATTGCTCTTCATCAAAAACACTATCAATTGCCAATAAGTATTACAAAAAAAGATAAAGCGATTTAAGCAAATATTCAATATTATTACAAACAAATTCAAACACGTTTTCCTACAAATAGAGAAATAAGGAAAAGTAACACTCCTTATCACCTTTACTAAGCATCTAATTCATGTATTCCTCCTTTGTCTCTTTAGTAGTCTTCTTATCGTTAATGTAACATGGACCAAGAAATTCGTATTGTTTATCTTTACCTGAGGAAACCAACATTTGATGCAAAAATCTATGATAATGCAAACAAATTAGTTCCAAGAGCTCAATTATTTAATTTCATTTAAATTTACACTTAGAATAAAATATTTACATCATTCCAATTTAAATGTTTGTTGTAGTTTGGTCACCATTAATGAGAATCTAGCCTAGATCCTCATTCTCAACTAAAACTTGGTATTTGTTAAGGCCAACGAGATCAAGAACAGCTTTAAAAACTATTGAGGAAATGATCCACCATATGCCAATAAGACAAATTACTTTTGACCTACTTTACCAAACGATTACGTCTCCTGTTAAATTAAAAAAGAAATTAGTAAAACTTGCTTAAATTTAAGGAATGCTTGATAATTAATTAGTTTATTACTGGATCTCGAGGCATCCTAACAAGTCTCTTTGGCAATAACATAAAGGTGCCCTTGGCATCTTTTACTATCTTGATCTCATCAATGGAAAAAGGGACATGAACATCATCAATTTGGATCTCTTCAATGGTGACCTTGACAACATCTTCTTTGACTTTCTGGAAGTGGCATTTTGACCCCTCATGAATGCGACTACGTGTTATTAAGTGTTTTTTGGATCCTCCACATATAAGAAGCATAGCTCAAGGTTGAGAGCTGGGTCATCCTTTGAAGAAAGTGGAATGATGTTACTTTCCTTAGGCATCTATCTAACTACGATCCGTGTTTAATTTTACCTCCTAAAACACGAAATAATTCATGGATTATTACTAAACCATTGGAATAGGACCAAATAACAAGTTCAAAAAAAAATAGAAAGCAAGCTCTTTGAAAAAAAATATTCTTTATAGTTGGCTAACCTCCTATCTAATAGGTAGGAGGGAAACCAATTATATATTCTTTGGCCCTTTCCATATAGAGAAATGGGCCAAATAATAAGTTTTAAAAAATTTTGGTAAAATTTTTTCTAAAAGTTGTACTTCCCAATAGCATTCAAATCAATCATGTTTCTCACCACAATTAATAAAATTTCAAAAAAAATATAATCAAGTAGAACTCTCCTAACAAGCATTTCATCGAACACTTAATGGCCATTAACCCTTAAATTAAAATCAACTCCTCCTTCAGCAATTCTATTTTCCAAAATTTTATAATATAGCTATTTGTATCAATCAGTCTTAAAATATACTCTCCAGCAGGGAAAATCAATCTCCAACATAAAAAAAAAACTCAATTTTTATCTCCACAATAGTAAACAAGGAAAGGGAAAAAATCACACAGCATCTAACAAAAATTTATATCAACCATTAAACACATACGCACGCATGCACAGAACTATAAGAGGAAGGAGAC